AAGAACAACAACTTATCTAAAAAGAAGTAGCCTTGCCACCAGAAGATCTTGTTCGAAAACAGGTTGCGATCAAGCGATCAAAACGCTTCGTTGTCGTTTCTCGATATTTCAAAACTAAATATAAAATAGTCAAATGATTAAGTTAAGTTTTGTGTTACATAATGTTTAAAAAACATTATGTTTATTCTATTGAGAGAAAATTGGGTAAAATCACGGTTTATTGAAACAAACTGTCAAAGAAATTGTCCAAAAGCCGACATTGTTTACCTAAAGTCTCGTGTATTAACTCTTTTCATGATACGATAACAAACTTCCTGCCACAGCGAAACAATTATCAACGCGATATCATTGTAAAAATYATCACTAGAAATGATACAAAAGAATTCTTTAAAATGACACAATGAATTATTTTAGCCATAYAAAATCAACTTTTTGTCTGCGACCGTTCAAATCGCTATGGAAATCGAAATATTTTTTCTTCAGAACACTCCCCAAACATTGAAAGCGAAATTTACGTAAACCCACTTAAAAATGTCATATTCAAAACCTATTTACTCAAATAATCTTATATTTGCTCGCCTTTTAATATCCTATCTATACAAAATGCTACTAAATGCGATTTTACGGCTTAAAGGCTGCCCTCTGATGAAAAGTGCTCAGCTTTGATTTCTTTAAATTTTGACTTAAGATTTCGATGCCGCATGCTGTTTCGGGACATATTCGTAATCTATTTATAAATACTCTTTTTCCCCGGTAAATCTGTGGCTGTTGGAATCATTAGTATAACGATATAWTTTTGCTTGTCTGTGGATCATGAGCTTGCGTCTTTGGTACATCAATAAACATCGAGTTAAAGCCATGTTGAAATACTAGATATATAGACTTTTTGGAATACAACAAATTATACACTATACCCTYACAAAAGACGTGTGAGTTAAGCGGAAACTGAAACACTGAGTAYCAAGCTATGTTTAACGTTTTAATAACAATAATTAGCAATGGATATATGATYTCGAACAATCCCGGTGCGATTTCTCCATTAATTACAAAAAGTCTTAAACAAAATGATCTACGTGATTAGCGATATTCTATTTTTTATACTAAAAATTATGTWAGTTAATTAAATACAAGTTCTATAATTGAAATACGTAACGTAATATGACGTAGTAATATATCATTGATAATATGCAATTTTATTAATATGATCATATTGAATTATCATTTATAATTCTCTGAGAAAACCGAACGTTTTTATATATACTGATATATGACATATCAAGCTCAAAAACATGTCATAAAAAAGTACATGAAATCGAATAAAATCAAAGTGAATTTTATACTCTCTTGAAGACGAACCAACTCAATATAATTCAGTTACAACAAACAGTTCAAAAATCGATCTTTTGAATGGAATCCGAGAGMAGTTTGTTCAGGAGTGACTGCTGTATTTGTCTTTATATCGTTGCGAAACGTATCGCGCAGTTGGCATACTGCGTTTAATTTTCGCCAAAGAGCCATTACCATGACAACAGACAGACAACACGTCCCCATGACTACACGAATGAAACGCCTTCATGGGTTCTAATAATAGGCGTCCCCTTGACAACAATCACACGTCTCCACGACAACAAAGCAACTCTTCCTCCTTCCTCAAAATCGCCAAGCTTTCTAAAGTTTTTTCTCATTTGCAATGGTGCACAGGCGACCCATCATCAAGTAATAATTATTTTTGTTATGGCTGTGTTAATTCGGCTAATGATGTTGACAATAGCTATAATAACATTGCTATTGTTCGGGGMTTAACATTTCTTCCTGCCAGATAGCTCATTAGCAGTCATTGGYGCTGGGACGAGCGGACGGCTTTACAACAACCTTGTTTCTTACACATGCATGTTTGGCATGGGAATTCAGTATTTTCTCTTAAAAGAAGAGTCATGTTGCGTTACAGAGAAACCTTATCTTCTTGTCGTGTCACTGCCTCAGCTAAAAAAAATGTGGAAATGGTATCTGAAGTAGAAAAACAAGAGTCATCGGCACGTGGAGTAGCTAGGAGTTGTGTTCAGTCAAGAGTAGAGCATCTTAAAAGCTGAATTAATAGAAATTTAGACCATAAAACCGGTGAAAAAAAAAATGAAATCACAAAAGGTAAGTAAAAACGAGGTGATTATACTTTGCAAAATGCTTGTTGTATTCTTGGTGTGCAACCACATGACCAGGAATCTCCTGAGAAATAAAAAACAAAGCTATCGCCGCCATGTTGGATGAATGAACAAGAGAAACTAATGAGGAATGCTTTGTGATCTTCATCCAACATGACGGTGATGACGTAAAGAACAAAGCTATCGCCACCATGTTGGATGATTGAACAAGAGAAATTAATGAGGAATGCTTTGTGATTTTCATCCAACATGGCGGTGATGACGTCACTTGCATGCCAAGAATTGGAATGCGGCCGGCATCTTGAACTACTGAAGAAATTATGGGATGTCCAGTAAAAATTTCACGGGCATGTTAATGCATCTTTGCGCCGAAGAATATATCTTTCTCCGATTATGTCCTGCTTCAGACTATATAACTTGTCATTTCAAATCATCCAAATATAGTAGTAACTAGATATAAGTATGGAAAGACGTTATAGAGTTTGGAAAGGAGATTATTACAAGAGAAAGATACGGCTTTATTCATTGTGCAAGATGGCTTCTCTTATTGAACTGAAGCTGTACGTTAATAGTATGCCAATTCAATAGTATGCCTATTCGAAGATTTTTCTTCCCTCCAAAAAAGTCCATTTAGTTAAACCTTGGAGCAAAAAAAAAAACGTAAAAAAAATCAGAATGCAATAATAACATCCATAATCTAATAAAAACTGTCTCAGAGTTAATGCCAAGATAGCGCTTTTCTCAGACATCTAGAAAGCATTTTAATAATTGTGTTTTGTCTGAAGTTTTTTTCATATCCTTTTGGGCATGTAAGAAATATATGCCGAATATCTAATATATGCAATATACCTATTTCTTTTTGTTGTTGCGCCAAAAAACATTCACTTTTATCCATTTATAGAGCGTTATTAGACACTTTATAAATGAGGGTTTTAGCTATCTAGTGAAAAAACACAATATACTAAGCTACAATCACTCATTTTCSTCATATGATATGAAAAAGCATTGTTAGTATATTGTAAGTTTTGCTTCATAAGTAAGAATCTCATGATATATATCTTTCCACAATTTACTAAATACTTAATGTGCTTTTCGCTAGGTAAACACACGGCTATTACAGAAGTTGTTGAGTTGTAATAAAAGTTATGCATTACAAGACGAAAATGTATTTGCATGTTGTCCGTTGTATTACCGCTGTTAAACGCGTTTTCTCTGTTTMAGAGAGTGACTGCATCTTTATATCAGCTCTGTGMCTTCTATGAAGAACAATTTAGTTTGTCATACGCCACTTTCGTGGAATTCAATAGCAACAGTGCATTTCGGTCTTAGAATACGCCCGAGCAGTATCACAGTATTCAGTATTAAACATTTTATAGGCGTCGTGCATCCGACAACCTTTGCGGTCATTAGTTTTGTCTTCAAATTGATCTATTGTTAAAATTTGCTTTCTGATTGGTTCAAAAACAAATATGGCGATTTTTTCGTACGTGAGAAAACCGAGCAGAGGCTCTAAGACGTACATAGGACTTTAAAAACATAATTTAAAAATTACTATATCTAAAAAGCGTTGTTGTTGTTAAATCTGACTGAAGTTTTGAATGATATGCTCTTGTATATAATCTGAGAACGAGTTTTTATGTAATTTGTGCCAAAGACCATGCATTTGTCACAAATTTAGACATTATTTTTCAATTATAGCTGACTGCGTCCTAATCATATTAAAAGTTCGACGTTTTGCTATTAAATATGATGTCTTTGAACGAGCCGTGTGAGGCCTTTATTGATCATTAAAACCTTCGACGGAAGCTTGCAAATATCTGGCGCGGTATAGTACCGGACATTTTTGATATGGCATAGCGTACGGTTTTTAAATCCCCGCCCATTCATATCCGCTGGTTCAATAAGATCCGGACAAGTGTTTATATGCAGGTATTAAGCTACTGTTTTATATTTTTTTAGAGCCAGGCTGAATGTAATTTAGGTGTCTAAAGGTAATATCTAAGGTGGCTGAACAACACTTTAAATTTTAAGGTGGCTGAACAACATTTTTAATKCTAAGGTGGCTTAATATCATTTTTATTTTTAAGGTGGTTTTTAAGGTGGCTGAACTTATTCTTCGTTTTTTAGAGATAACTTAATATTAAGGTGTGCTCACCATGTTGGGTTATGTCACAGACACCGTGTCTGATGCGCCACATCCGACATGTTGGAGTACGTCATAGCACTGTCTGGCACTGCCATCGTTGCCATTTTGGATTGTGCTACATATTGATAGTTTTATTCTAGTTTTCTCCCCGGCTCGACTCTTTGAGATTTTCATTTCATTTTCAAAACCAAGAATACTCCCTTTTACAGTTTAAGCTTCATCTCGAAAGAGCGCGAAGGCCTCAAAGCGAGACAGGAGGTGAGTCTGCAGTGAACAACAAAGCGGATTTCTCATTAGTATCTATATTGTTCATTCATCCAACATGGCCGGCGGTCTTGTGAACCTGATGGGAATGATTGAAAACGAACAATAGTAAAATTGTATCGGCGATGAAGAGTCTCACCATTCTCTCAACCAGACGAATTGTCTTTCCGTAAAAACGAATTGTTTTTAAACAGCCGCTCAATGCGATAATTGCTTTTACAGTTGATGGTGTTGTCAATAATTCATCGAAAGAGGTCATTTACTAGACTTCGATCGCTCGTCCTACATTTTATCTCCCTTTTCACTGCGATCTTCAGCTTAGCATACGCGATTCAAAGAAAGGACCTGATAAGGTAGTGACATAACTAATATGTTAATAATATCTCAATACTATATCAACAATTGATATAACATTATTGATGATGATAATAGCAAAATATATCAWKTATCAATAATGTATTAAACTTCTATATACAAAGTGAGCGCGCGTGAATTTAGCAGCAAAGACGACGGAGTAGTTTTATCGTTTCCAATAACTCRTTCATTGCTATTTACATTAATTCATGAAAAGCTGTTGCAGAAACTGCGTCAATTTAGATTTTATCGCGTTTTAGAGAGCACTAAAGCTTCCATCTTATGAGCACAGAGGGTTGAGGAAAACCATTATGAGTATCTGCACTTAATTTGAACACGATTTGGCTTTCGTGACGAGAATATCTTGAAAATTAAGACAATGAAATTGATGTTTTAGTGGTTCTTCGTCAGACAACAAGAAAGTGGAGGCTTATTTGTCTTTTGTGTCATAAATGATCTTAATCAAATTGAATACTGCAAGATGAATGAATGAATAAATAAATGGATGAATAGATGGWTGGGATGGGATGGAGGAGGGATGGATGATGAATAAGTGGTTGGTTTGAAGAATGGAATGGAGAAAGATGAATGGAAAAACTTGGGATGAACTAGAATGAAGAATGAAATAATGAATTATTGAATGGATGGATGGGAGAACGGACAGACGGACCGATTGATAGTTGCATAAGTAAATAAATAAAAGAAATGCAGATTGAATGGATGAAAGGACGAATAAATAAATCGGTAAATGAAAAATGGAATAAACACATGTATGTATAAAATGGATCATAAATAAATCGATAAATAGTTGAAGAAACTGAAAATGTGAATAAATAAAGAAAAAACGGATGGGAAATGAATAAGCGAACGCAATAATTAACACATATATGAATACATTCATTAATAAATAAATAGCTATTATAATAGCAATAATGAAAAAACTCAAAGAGCAACTGTTTACAGACAAAATTTACTCCAACGCGCACTTACTTTCAAATTGATGAAATGGCTCTMTATACCTTTATACCGTCTCTAAATTTGCAGCAATGATTAAGTACATCGATAATTTAGACGTGTGAAAATTGTAAACAAGTAAATGAGCCCAACTGAGATACCAGAACTCGCATTGAAAAATCACCCCGATGAAATGATCACRGCCTTTATCGAAAAGCGYMATACAAGCACTAGAGAAAATTCGTGACATACACAATCGGTGATATTACTCTTCGAACAGAAACAGTAAATTAAGGGGTTTATGAACACCCAATCCATCACCATGACAACATGTGGTTTTAGCTTTAAAGAATAATGTGAAGCTATTCTTGTAGTTTATTTATTCGATGTGTTTGAATTTCTATTTGATTGTACGTGGTACTAAGCTTTTATTGAGTAASGYSRTTCTCACGCTCATTGGCTRCACAAATGGCCATATTACAAGAATATAAATTTCGGCTCTATAGTTCTTATAAAAACAATATCCCCGCGTTGTATTAACAAATAACAATTCAGTAATGTATAAAGAGTCTTTTTTGTTAAGCTGATTTAAGCTTGAAAGTCAATGAAATGTTTTCATACGAGAAAACCGTATTTTCTCCTCTGTTTATTTTTTTTGAAACTCTCGCCCAATTGTACCTCAGAAGTAAACACCTTTAGGATTAAAACAAAAATACTCTTGTTATTATAAAGKTTCCTGAAAGAAAACATGCTTTGAATTGAATACATTGATGTGCAATTTTAATCGGGCCATTTTGGCTTGTGACTGTATGTCTGACGATGTCATCGTTCGTATCTTATGTAAATATATGAAACGTGCAGGTGACTTGGGGACTAAAATTATTAATTGATCTGTGTCTATGTGTATATGCTCAATGCTAGAGTCCAAAGCAATTTGATTCTCAAATTCTAATCCCACTGACTAAGCTCGAGTTGGACTATTCGCCTGACCATTTCTTAAAGAATTGAACCTCGATGCACGAAATGGATCAAGAAAGCCGGTGAATTTGCACAAAGAAACGAATCGGTAGGTATCATGTGAGCGTTTTTACGTCCTCTATCAGCATTTGTTTTAATCAAATTACATTTTACTTCGAAACCATTCGAACACCTAAACTAACGTGTTTTGCTGTAGTGTATTATATCGGGATTTGAGCTTAGTTTTCACTCGKTTTTTATGCGAATTACCCGCGCGGAATCGACTTTTTCCGAGTGACATTTCAGGATAATATACACTGATCTCTGGGCGAAGATCAAAAGTACGTTTTGGTTGGTCCACACAGTGGCATGATCAAGCTATAGTCGATCACTGTATGCCACCGTCGGCTTGACTAATAACWATTTTAGTTTGTTAGGAACGCTGCTTTCGCTCTACTCATCTCGAAAAATAACACGCGTGCCTCGACGTTTTTTCTAATATTTTAAATTATCATTTTGACAGCTCGACTTGCCAGATTGAATACGAACGGGAGGGATGGAACACTCCGCTAGAAAAGCTCTTCTTTGGTAGTCTCTAAATGCCCGTGGACCACGAAYAATGGATTTGACAGCAAAAATTGGTGGATTTTTCCGTAGTATTATAAATCCTGAGGGAGAAGGACCTCTTACGCAAGGCAATGTTGTATTGTAAGTACAACTGTAGGGGAGTGACTTTCAAAAATACCTATTCTTATTTTGGGTTTCGAGTTTGAACTTTAATTCCTTAAAAATACGAATTTGAATTGATATTTTGGAATTCTTTTTACTACGKGAAACAATAGCTTTGCTTGAATTGCTTTGGTAGAACATTTGAAAGCGTAATGGTTGGTATTCATGCTCAGGTAACCATACATMTATTATTCATACGAAGATTCACTTCGCTTCGTAATAATCAACATCTCAGCTCATGAATTGAATAGAAATTTGACTTAGGAGAAAATTCCAGCTGCTTTGAAGGCTAATTTTAAAGTCAAATTTCTAACCGTTCAAATATTTCATGTATATTCACGGAAAAAAGAGCGAAAAGGTCAACATTTTTGGGTATTATGACAGAACAATAAACTCTGACTCAAAAGCATAAAAACGAGCAACAACAGATATGGCTAGTTTTCAATCTAAAGAAATTCTAACTCGTCATAATAAATTACATCCCATGTCGTTTGGGTAGAGATAATTATAGCCTGGTATTAATCGAGAATAGGGCACGGATACGGCCATCTATATGYTAATGCCGTAGTATTTTTAAGCAGTTTTTTAATCAATCTAAAAGTGTGTCTTTATCAGACCGCATTGACGTTGGAATAAAACTCGTAGTTCCGCTCAGTTTCGGCCGCGTTTTCTCAGTGTTTATTTACAAACATACCATTCAAAACCCCTGCCTTGGTTTTAAATACTTTATGAGACAAGTGTAAAGAAATACGTTGTTATTTTTCCGGCAGATCCTCGCCGAATGCTACCGACTCCGCAACGCCGTCAGAAGCGGAACAGCTCAATGATCGTGATGAATTCTACGACGATCAACGTGACGGCAGCGAGTTCTCGGGCGGTGGAATCTCACGCGACCGCCAAGGTACGTTTCCTGTGAGTAAACGCAATGAACTTGCGTCAAAGCTTCAGGTTCCGCGCAGTCCGCAATTCCGTAGACGTTTTACGGTAGCAACATCGCCCAATCTCGGTGCTAGCAGTAGTTCCTTACCGAACGGCCGAAGTACTTCGCATCGGGCTTCGACTCGCAGCGCTGGTGAAACTTATTCYGATGATGARACGATTTTGTCCCGATCATCCCGACGTCATGAGATGATTGGTGGCTCGTTAAGAGGTCGGCATCCCGAATCTCCGAGCCGATCACAAACGCCRACGAGGCATTTTTCAAGTAGTAGCTCGGCGTCTGAGAGTACATCAGAAAGCCATATCCGTGGAGTAGGAAAATTAATTGTTGTACTAGACTTTACAATGCATACATCAAAACTTAGCGTCACAATAGCAAAAATGGAGTTCCCGCCCTACCAGCAACGCGATACGTCGTTACTTGAGGTCAGCGTAATGCTTCTTCCAGGCAAGCGCCAGAGTTTCCGCGCCAAACCAAAAGACTTCCACGATCCAGTAGCAATCTACCTATACCCACGTGACAAAGTCAAAGATATGTCGCTACGATTTCGTCTGTACGAACACGGAGCAATGGGAGCTAGGCACCTTTTGGGCGAAGGGACATTAAGGCTGAAGAACGTTAATCTTGATAGTGAAATGGTCCCTGTACCGGTGGATCTGCAGCCCCCAGGTTCTTACGTCCCTGAGGGAGCCTCGGGAGCAATTATGTACGAAGGAGAGCTTGCCATWTCTGAAGAAGATCGTCCTGAGATTCTAATTTCGCTTGAGTATCGCCGTCTTACTGGTAAATTACTCCTGGAAGTTATCAAAACTAGGAACCTTGGGATGCTAACCGACTCCAAGGCTAAAGAAATGTTTGTTAGTGTTCGACTCATTGGGAACAATGGGGACCTTATCAGTAAGGGTCGCACAACTCCTAGACGTCACATGGTCGACCCTGAATATAATGAGATGTTTTTGTTCCATGTTCCAGAACAAGAACTGAATAGCGTTACWGTATTAATTACCGTCACAAGCGTGAGTAAAACATTAGGAMGAAAGCTGAAAATTGGACAGTTAGCCCTAGGGCAGAACTTTAGTAGCGARGAAGAGCTGAAGCATTGGTACGAGATGACGAGGAGTAAGGAGAAGTCTATCGTGAGATGGCATCGGATAAACGAGGTCACATAAACATGAACATTTCTAGTTAGATTATATTATAATAATTCAGTAATAATGAAATTCAAGTCTTACAAAATGACATACAGGAACATGAAAAGTAGGTATTGGAAATATCTTAGCAAATCAAAGAACGGTTCDAGGTGCAATGACGAACGTGTATTGTACGGAAGGTACAATTTGCGATGAGCACGCACGACGCATGCGCAAGTCAAAATGGACTGTAATACAAACTCTGAAGACATTAACATAATTACCAACCTAGTTAACATGCTAATTATTCATCGTATAATGATTGGCGCTTTACTATAATGACGTCATTTGCTATTCCACGAAATGCACTATGGGATTGACCAAGCACAAACTAAATTCATCTTGTCTCAGTATACTTCGCGAGTTATACAAGTATTACATATTTCCCCAACAGCTCGATCGTTGGGTACACTTTATTGCGCTGGCATCTTATCTAATTATGATATGATAGCGTTTTAATTTCGCAAAGAAACTCGTTCTTCGTAGTTTTTCAGTATACATCCGCCATCTTGAAACTTTTATCAATACCGTGATGCACTTCGGGAAAACAAAGATGACGTCATTAGTTAAAAAAACTATCACATAGGACAAATGCTGAGCAGAGATAATACAGTTTTATAACTATAGTACCTGGAAACACACCATGTCATTCCTGGACTGCCATGACAGACATGTAGGCTACAATGTAGCTTGTTCATGAAGAGGTTGTTCTTAAAATTGGTTAACACACTACCGAAAGTCACTATGGGCATCTTTTACTTATTATCATTATTACGCCGATCAAACGCAGTCAATGTTGTCGTTTCTACTTGAATTTGATGTCTTTGATGACTTTTTGTTTGAATGCTTGCAACTTCTTCAGTTTGTCTTTGTTTTGCCCTTCAAGTGAGTGAGTGAGTGATTGAGCGAGTGAGTGAGTGAAGTGTACGTGGATACAACAGTATCCATGGTAATCTTCGGTTGTGGATTCTATCTGATAGTCCTTTATGAAGTTGCTATATCGCGCGCAAGCACAACGTTTAAAACAAACGAGCGCTCAAGAATTTCGGTATTAAACTGCACTCCAAGCAGAATGCGATCAATGCGGTCAAATAGGTTGAAAAAGTTTAATCAAGTGTAATGTAACTTTACTTGAAACGTGAACCTGATAGGCTTCTTAAATTTCGTTTTATCCACCAATAAACAAACTAAGGGAAAATTAACATTAACAGTGCAATAAATACGCCCTGTTTTCCAGTTAAAACGCGTGTCAAAATAGGTATAAACCGCTAAGCAGTTTGATAGCAGGCAAACCCCTATCTTCTGATTTTAACTGCATACAGTATGTTTAGACGCAATGAAGTATGTATGAATACATTCTTGAGCAGCAGGAATGATTAAAGAGCTTCCGATCGAGGCTTCTTTGSAGTGCCACAACACATACCAACCCAGCCTCGTCTGGGTGTTTTATCTACCAAACTGTTCAGCGGTTTGTAAGCAATAAAATAAGCAAAGCTCAATGCGCGCCAATCGCCTAATATGGAGCTATAATAGCGTTGTGAAATGAAACCAACGAATAAAATGTTGTTAATAAGAATGACAAAAATACCACTGCCGTTGCCGGTACTACTTTTACAACCTCCCAAATACAAAACCATCCTGATCGACGTATGCACCAGTCTTCAACCAAGTAACGGACTGGCGACACGATATRTATCAARTACACCCACTTAACCAACCAACCCATCAACCAACCAGTCAACTAACCARCAAAAMCAAYAACTAACGTATCATCTACTCAAACCAACCACTCAACCAAACATCTACTAAACCAATCAAACCATATAAACAAATCAACCAACCACTCAATTAAGCAACCAAACATCCACACAAAATCAATCTTCTACTCAACCAACTCATTAACCAACCAGTCAACGAACCGGAAAAACCATCAGCTAACGCATCATCTCTACTCAATAAGCCAACCACTCAACCAAACCAAACCATCAACCTAACCAATCAACCAACCACTCAATCATCCACTCAACCAACCAACCAATCAACCAACCCAACCACTCAACCAACAAACCACTCAACCAACCAACCAACCAACCAACCAACCAACCAACCAACCAACCAACCAACCAACCAACCAACCAACCAACCAACCAACCAACCAACCAACAAACCAACAAACCAACCAACCCAACCACTCAACCAACCAACCAATCACTTCATCAACAAATCAAAGAACACTAACAAAAATGAACCAACCAACCGATCGACCAGCTAAGAATCAGATGACACATTCATATTTTAAATATCTTTAATTATTTGTCAATAAATCAGGTTGAAATGCAACGATAGTAAATACATTAAACAAATGTGCGATCATTACAAAAAATGCGATCAAAAAATGAAATAGGAAGAAATGAAACAAAAATTCATAAAAGGAAAACTCGTTTAAATAGAGTTAAGCGTGAAAACCACGATATTGCGATGGAAATATGGTATTTTTTATGTCTATTGGTCTGTTTTACTTTATAAGTGATTTTCCATCGACCATGACGGAATCAGCTTGTAGTAGACCTCAACTAAACTGTTTCTTTCAGAGCGGTTTTCATAAACCCGTTTAAGAATGATATAAAAAAATACGCTAAATTGTATTTCACGGGTTTAGAGAAAGAACAAAAACCCGTGAAACAAAGTGTGATAAAGTGTTGTACTCAGAAAAGACAACGAAAAGCGTGAAAAATAAAGCGTGAAAAATTGTAGTATGCCAAAGTTTATTTCTTGGGTTCAGTTATGAAAACCATTCGGAAGATTAGACATTTTTTTATGGATGACAGAGAAACCACTTAAATCTATACTCTATGATGTGTAATTTTCCTTTGAAATGCGAAGTTTCTTAACCTTGGTGTACAAACCTTATTGCAAAAAACCTTGTCACACAAAAATTAATAAGTTCCACTATCCTAGWATCAGATTGTGGTAAAATGCTTAAAGCGCTATGGTCAACCAGCATTCAATGCGGTCGTGTTTACGATTTTTCATTTACGAGAAACGAAGTGACTTCGAATATCCATTCGCAATCCGTTTCCATACGTCGGCTTTAAGGTCGAATCTTACAATATCTCCATTCATTTAAAGGTATAATAAAAAGTAAGTTTTTGCTTATATTACGATGTATTTTTATTTTTAAACATAAACAAACGCTCGAAAGGGATGCTGGWGGACTATGGCYCATTAATTTTTGCAAGGAATTTTTCTTGTAATTAAGGGTACACCACGAACTCTGATCTCATATATCAAAACTTGAACATAAATAAAACATTATCAACAAACGTAATATAGATAGTGCCTTCGATCTATAACTTCTAATTTATCTTAAGTCATAACAATTTCAACAAACATAAGTTCTCTTTACATATTCATGTTTAAATAAATTCTTTTTACAAGCGAACATGGAAAATTTGAACTGGAAAAGCGAGAGTTTCGGTAGGATGCAGTTTGAAAACGATCTCTGTTAAGTCGAAGCTAATTTGATATTGAAAAGAAACGCAGAGCTTTGGTTTTAAGTCTACTACGTAAACTGCTCTMCAAAGCCGCGCGCTTTTCAATTCAACGCGAGGAAATTCGAAGTGAAAATGATGCCATAGCCATGYAAAACCATTCATATTGCTTGAGCAAGGCCGATGCGCAGGAAAAACAGGGCCTGACAATCATATAAATTTTGATCAAGTTTAATTATCATTGATTGTAAGGAATGATTGTACAATTGATGGAAAATTGTGCAATTGTTATCGACCCYTGYGGAATGTTTGACTAGAATATAAGGCGCGTAGAATGAAAGTTCTCAGATTTGCGTTTTCGTGTCTTACCATCCTCAAAATGAATGAAAAACACAACGCAGCGAAAATGTACTAGTGTTGACGAGGCCCTCTTAACGGATATCTTACGTTTTTTTCAGCGTTTAAGTAACGACGTAAAGCAAATCCTGTGTTCTTATAAGTGAGGTTGCGGCTTTTCAATAGCGAAAGTGATAGTCGAAGAAAACTAGCGCCTTGACCGCAAGCAAAAACTACCTTAATTTCTCCGAATTAAACTCAAGATAGCATCAAGACTCTAATTTTCCGATGTTTTTTTCATTTAAGTGCGGTAAGAAGCGTTATTAGGAACAGGAACGATGTAGAAACTACGAAAAGCTGCATGCAAACCACACACTATCCTATCCTTTTCAAACCTTTTACTCAATTTGGACGAATTAAGTCATAATTTATGGCCAAAAAAAAGTTGTATGTGTTGAAAACTCTCTCCTTTCCAGCCAGAAATGGGGTTCCTATGCCTTCCCACCACAGGAACCCCGTCCATAGCGGACTATGCAAAATGAGCCCWCAACAAATCAACCAGCGTTTAGTGTTGCTGCTGTACATGAACAATAAAGCTTCAAAAAGAGGAGGTCAAAACAATGGAAAAAGCAGGTGGCATGATGGGATATATACCCTTCCCCCTCAAAAATCCCCCTTTTTTGCACCGTTGTCCTGACCTTCTCTCTTTAAGTTCAGCCAATCCCGAAAGAATCACCTTTCCCGCGGGATTTAATCGGGTTTCTCGTCAAGGTCACCATGGCAACCTCTCAATGACGTCAAAGCTCGCTCGGTTCATAAACTGGGACTTTAGAAAGATTTTCTTTGTCTTCTGGTTTGTCGTCACGTGCAATGAACAGGGTATGAGATAATCCACACGCAACTGAATACACATATACACCCTCTAGCGGTTCTACGATCTGTGGACGCGTTGAAGACTTGGATCCACCTTTTTTCAGTCCATAGCCCTGTTGGAAGCGAATACGGACGATTAAACGTTATTTGAGGGACTCTAGAGACACAACATAGCCTCCTTGAGCAGCTGCCCCTGCGTCATCTGCGTGACAAAACACTGCGTGACAAAACACTGCGTGACACAACACTGCGTGACACAACACTGCGTGACACAAAACTGCGTGACACAGCACTGCGTGACTCAGATCTGGAAATTTGCTTGTAAACATACAAGGGAAAACCAGGGGAGAAAGGGAATGGGGGGAGTTATGGGGAGAAGAAAGAGGAAGTGGAGAAGAAGAGCCTGCCCACAGTCAAAAAATAATGTCAGTGTGCTTTMACTGACCAGTTCACCACTTGTGGGGCTTGGTCCCCAGCTGACAACACTCTCATCAGCAGCGACCACAATACTGGTTTTCCTACAAGAATTTCAATACATTAATAAATTATTAATAAATAAAATAATCTGTTTCATGATTTGCAACATCAACATGCGAACRAGGCAAGACTGATGTCAGATACTTACGAGCAACCAACGCTTCTTACATCCCAGCCACTAAGGTCCTCGACTCGTTTWGGGTACATGGCGGCCTCTCCTGATGGCTTTGTCTGCCCCCAGAAATACAATTGACCTTGACTGACACACATGGAGTACGCCGATCCTGCAAATATGGATGATGGGCTGCCTGTGTGGGAGATATGTAAGCACTAAGTTTTGAAAATTTTATCATAATTCTTTTTTTGGAATAAAGTGAATAAATAATGTAATAGTTAGAGGGAGTTTTCAAACTCATTGCTTTTCATAAGTTGTAAATAAATAAGAAAAAAATAATTAAAATTTCATTGATGTCTTAGAGTGCACGCCAAAAAAGCGCGAAACAATTCTTAACAATGAACAACTAATAAGATTTAGTTATCAAGTAACTAAGAATGCACTGGGGCATCAACACAATGCCAGAAATGAAATTGTCTTTGTTTATGCCTTACTGAATTCTTAGTTAGTTGATAACTAAATCTTATTAGGTGCTAATTTGTTAAGAATTGTTTCACACTTATGTGACAAGCACTCTAAGTTCTTCATTGACTAATACAATCTAGCRATTTTGTGTCAACAGTGAAAAATGGCAGGGCTTACAATTAGAGTAATTGTACGTAAACTGTGCAACTGTACAAAACCTAAGAGACAGTACTAATTTGTACTAAAAGTGCACCTGCTGAAGAGAGATGTTATTGAATGCTCTATTTGGGATGATTAAGTCACTGCATGCACGATTTTCTAAATATAACTAAACGGAACGATTTAGTTTGTACAGTTGCATGGTTTAAGTGCGACCACTCTAGCAGTTATTAATTAAACACCACCAACTAGCTACCTCTGTTATTGAAGAATGCAAGCAGACGAGGTACATGCTCATCTTTGGGTTGTTGGTGCCCCAGTCGGCCATAACCACCAAACCCCCATGTAAAGACACGCCCTTGGCTATCTCGAATCATCTATTGCAAAACAATAAAGTAATTATCAGGAAAAACAAAGTTGTAATCACATTGTYGCAGGGAATTTTAAACATTAACTCTACCTTTAGGAGCAAAAACCTAATGTTTATGTTAATTTTTGTAACTCACCGAGTGATGGTTTCCACAGGCCAAGTCAACCACTTTAACATTTTCAACAACGTTGACAAATCCCTCTCTATTCCGCTCAACAAAAACGTTGAGCTTTCTTGGTAGAAGTTCGCACTGATAGCCAAGTTTATTTGATGCTACAATGTACTGCCCATCTGTGTTGTGACCTAGTTGGCCATGTTCAGGACTTCCAAATGAGAAGAGATTGTTTTCTTCATCAACGAACATGCTAAATTCAGCACCGCAGGCCACTTTGATGACTGTTTTATTGTTAGGATGCATAACCTGATGGAAGATTAGAAAACAGTTATAAAAATTGATTTACAAAATAAGAAGGCATAGCAGCGACRGCACTTTTGAAGCATATTGGGAAATGARTAATGCTAAATATATATTTTTGTGTTTCTTACCTGCATAGGGTGGGGTAAAACAGCTTTTTGGTGACCTTGTCCAAGTTGTGCAAGTCTATTCTCACCAAAGCCAAACACTCTTCCATCATCTAATCCAAATACCAAATACTCACAAATAAGTACTTTTATCATATAATTATAATACCTATATTTCTCCATATTTTCATAAAGTTGATATTTTCACTAGAAGTACATTTTAGCTTTCTTTAAAAAGTGGAAGTAAGGAAAAAGGTATTTAATGACATAATTTGCTTTCATATGTAATTACTATGATAAACAGAATATCACATGGTTGCTTGGAGATACGAATGTCATCTCTCAAGCGATYTTTTCAACACTTGAAGATAAAATCCGTAGCTCTGCGTGCCCATGTAATATCCTCTACTTATTAAGTCTACTTTAAGAAAGAAAGGGCCTGTATTTACCACCATACAAGTAACTTGACAAATACCCCCTGCCCCTCCCCCCTAACCAATAACTCCCTGCAGAGGGTGGGGTAAAATTATCCACTGTCACTCTATTCTTGGATACAATCTTAGTCTTTTTTACTTACCAGTAAGAACTAGAGTGTGACCTTTTCCACAACTGGCCTGGGTTATATTGTAATACTTCAATCTCTCAATAATTTTTGGTTTATCACAGCGGTCAGTGGTACCATGCCCTAGTTGACCTTTGTCATTACGGCCTACAATATTAACAATTGCCCTAGTTCATTATGACGTCACATCAWAACATTCTATTGTTTTAACGCTAAGGATTATGGYYGCCAGAAGGGATCAGAGTGACTGCATATCAAATAAAATGAACATGAGCAATCATTATCAAAASACGATTYATTGAAGTTTTRCTTTAGTAGACAATATAAATGGGTCTAAATTTCCAGTGTTTTTGAGCATCGTTTTCYRATGTAAACATACTGTGACGTCATAATGAAAYAGGGCAATTACATCAGTGAGGAGAAGAAAATGAGAAGYAAAAATTAGGAGGAAAGAAATGGAGAAATAATGAGTAATAACGGAAATGAGAATGGAATGAAGTAGAAGAAACGCAGAGTTGATATGACGAAAGTACGTTCATATTATTGGGATCCCTTTGTCAGAGTTGCCCTGGGGCTAGTTTTTGTGAAGACACAAGGAATAATTAATGCATAGATTTTAGCTTTTGTGCTTTTTAGTGTTATATACAAGATGGGATTAAGATAGGAAGGATACATTAGTAAATCTATGTATGAATAAATGAATAAACAAATCAACGATGGATGAAATACTAAATGATTCAAATAAACGAGTGAATAAAAAAAAATTAAAAAAATAACTGAATAAATCAACAAATAAATGAATGGATGAAAACATGAATGGATGAAATACTGACTGAATAAACACACCGATGTGTAGATAATAGTCCACTTCGCGGATAATTCGAAATTTTACATTACGTCGTTATGGTAAATCATTGACATCGCTGGAAAGAGCGTCATAAAATCAGCAAATTTGCCAAAATTGAAAATAATCTGATTTAAATTCAAAGAGATACGGCACTTCAAAAACACTAAATTTTGCATAGAAATGTTTGGCGAGGTTGTAACAAGTCAAGGTCAACCTCGATCTCATGCCGACAGCCATACATTTCTTTGTAAATTTTGCCGACTTTTAAACGCTGTATCTCCTTGAATTTTCATCGAATCATGCTCAAACCTGGTAAACATACTAATTTCAAACTGTTCTTTCCAGTGGTGGTAATAGTTTTGCGATATTTGCTCAATTTCTAATAGCTGTGTTATCCGCGAAGTGGACTATTAAGATGAAGGGACAGATAGATTAAATAAAAGATCCGTCGGTACATCAAGAAGTATATAATAAAGTCAATTTTCTAACCAAAACTCATAGCAGTTCCACTCTCGGTAATAATCACACTATGACAAGCRGAAGGACCAGATGCAACATGYCGTATYCTWATGCCAGATAATGTTGAAATGACATGAGGTTCCCATAAATTGGGTCCACCAAGATTTTCTGAAAAGAAGCCATCAATATCTGGTAAATACTCCATTCATTTGTCAAAATATCTAATATAAATTAAATTTTCTTTAAAATTATTTTATTTTTGTGGTGAAAGGTCAATCAGTACCTCTATATATATTGGAAGAATTTGTTTTACAAGATACTGTGCTTTCATAGATAATTTTTAATGATAAATAGAATATTACATGGTCAATTGGAGATAAGGATTTTATCTTCTTGTGTGCAGAAAATCTCAAAAACTATTTGGAGATCTATAATCCATATCTTTGACTGCCATGTTATACCTTAAATAATAAATGCTAATTAATTGTAAATCCTTTCTCACTGAATCAAGTGCTATAATTTCTTTTCCTCCAATAACATGACACACTCTTGCAGTTCAGTATAAAATTCTTGACTCATTTGGTCGGTTAAATGAACAAACTTAAAGAGCCTCTATCTATACACAACATAGTCCATTTAATCCTCATTAATTTTTTCATTAATCAACTTACTKGCTGATTTGGGCAACTCTTTTCTCCCAGCTAAGTCCCAGTTAGTCCCTCCACACAGCAATAAAGCACCACACTTTTCTTCTTTTGTCTGCACACACACAAAGAAAGAAACTACTACATCAATATCACTAGAGTTAGTATGATTTACAACCACCGTAGGAGACCAACCCTCAACATCCTTTGTCTGTTCTGCCATGGAAACCTAAGTTCAATATTTTAAGAAACATATCACTGTTCATCAAATTTGTTTTAAAAATGAGTGTTTTTAAGTAGAGAAAGTGACGTCAAGTATCCAAGAAACATTTATTACACCGATACAACTCTTGTTATCTAGTTCTGTTGTGCTTTTGTGTCAATTTGACTATCACATTTAAGCAATCTTCACTCTACAGAGAGAGAGAAAGCACTCCCCCACTCCCTCCCCTCTAAAACATCCACATGCCAAACAAAAAGAGCATTTGAGCATAGCATTTATACTTACAAATATAAGTTAATTTTCTTTTTTTACTTTTCTCAAACCATGGAAACAATAGAGATTTTAAAGTCCAGAATATTTTTTGTAAATTCATGATTTGTTCAAATGGGAAATGCTCATTTGAAATTATAAAAAAATTAAATGAAAGAAACTAACAAATGGGAAAAGAGTTCCTCTGAAATGTTCATTGAATAATATAATGTCATTCAAAAGTAGCACTCTAATATACTCAACTGTAAGTCAAAATGAGTTATTTGGGGTATTATTTTTATAAACATGAACTGTGTGTTAAGCAAAACATATTTTTGACAGAAATGTCAGCGAGCTTGAACCCATTTTTTGCTAATTTTGGCTTGTTTGCGCGAAAAATACCGCTCCTCAATTTGCGTCTTATGAATTTATGTAAAGCTGCTTTTACCACCACATTCCTTAGACACAAATGAATTCACAATAATTAGGATAAAAGGAATTTTTTCCGATAACAGATGAAACATTTTTATAAACATCCATCGAATCGAGGGAAAATTGTACTTCCAAACATAAAGTGTTAAGCTTAACTTTGCATAAATAAAAATTGTAGAATTTTCAAATGCCGCGAATAATTAAACTTTGATTTGCGTTACCGACGGAGTTAAAGCTCATTAAGAGAAAAATCCTTTCTCCAAGAATATAAAAAAATACTTAGAAGAATTTATTGTGGAATACTAGTTTTAGTACACTACGGCCGGCAAAGGGCACATCACATATGGGAAGACGTTCTATGGGTTGAAAGTCAAACATACTTTCAGCTCGCCAATAGGATTCAGGGCCGATTATCTAGAAGTAGGACACCCCTGGATGGCCACAACAAGTGAAAACACGTCCTGGAGAAAGATTTTTGTACAAATCATACAATCTTGATTGCCGGTTGGTTTTAAAATCMAGACACGCTAAAATGCGCTTCGAGAGCATGGCACACAAAAACAAAATCCTATAACCTCGCAAGCTAAATGCCCCTGAAATAATAACTTTAATTCATATACACTGAACCAAACAAACCTTCTTATTTCCTGATTCAGCTTTAGAGTTCTGTTCTGAAACAGAATTCTCCTCGGTCGAGCCATTGTCTGCCTTTTTTGGTGAGATCTCATCGGCGATTTTCAAATCACCTTCGTTTTCGAGGTCGGGCCGGCTTCGCTTGCATTCTGGTTCAAATTCGCTTTCTTCTGCTGTTTTAWTTTTTGGGGGCATTTATCTTGCTTTTGGGAAAATGACCTTTCAATCCTTTTTATCGTCGCTAGAATTTCAGACCTTCATTCATACATGCAAATGGGGCTATTTCTGCAGCTGCTGAAGAAAAGCCCAAAAGAGGTCTGAAAACGACTACGAAAAACCCTACTTACCGGGTAGGCCTGCTGTTAAGTTGAATAATTTCTATTGTTAATGTTACTTATAGGAGAGGGTATTAGTCACTTTTGCYATTGTTTTGACAGCTCTACGGATGGGTGAGTAGATTTTGGAGTCTTTTGTTTTGCGAGAGTCTAATTGCATTTGAAATTTCCGCCAAATGTCTCCAATCAAGAATGCATTTTATCTGTGTGACCGAAGATATTATGCCCTAGGGAGTCGTACTAGGTGGTTTTGACCACAAAGTTCAAGTGATAGCCACTGGTCTTTTCCAGTCATTTGATATGTCTAGGCTGTTGTTACATTTTGTTTTCAGTTTGAATTTTGCAAACAAATTGATATTGAATGCAAACAATATTCAGCACGTCTGCGAAGGGTCTGTGAGACAAAGAGCAAATGGAATAAACGAGCAATAATAATAATATTTAAATGATAAAAAATTGAATTAATTTGAGGAAAGCAAGCAAGCGAAGAAATGAATAGATACATCGGAAGGGGAGGTGTAAAAAGGGAAAGAGCAAGAAGAAAAAAAAAACAAATTGCCCTCAAAGAAAACAAAAAACACATTATAATACAAGGGATTAAGTCAAATAAAGGAACAATGGCAAACACATGTTAACGGAATCAAATTTTTTGATTGGGATAAATGAAAAGAAAAAAAAGAAAGTTCTAACAGAAAAATGAGAAAAATAGAAACTAGCTGGCATCTGAGAGCTCTTTTTTGCAGAACAAAAGTAATATCAGAAAAACGGAAATCATTGAAAGAAAACAACTGGGAGAAGGAAAAGAAAGAAACAAAATTGAAGAAAAAAAAAGAATCGGGACAACTGCAAACAACGATCCCAACCCCCAAAAATTATAATTTATGAATAGCTTATAATTTATGAATAGCTTAATAGCTTAAAGAATAACATAAGAAAAGAAACAAATAAAAATAAAATAAAGAAAAGGACTTTGCTACGTTGCACGTGACAGAGTCTCATTCTCATTCTCCCTCGGACGAGCAATTTTGACCTATAAGCACTGTCTGTGCGTACATGTAGTATCTTTAAGAAAGCTAAATTCTGTGTTCCTCTCACTCAATTGCAAGCCAAGATGACTCAGAATAAAGGAGAAATACCAAACTATGCGAGGTTTATAATGGGAGGATTGGCAGGGTAAGAGATCGTATGTTTTTATTGCTTCAAAAATTGCAAATTTCCAGCTCGAAACACCAGACATTTGCCAATATTTTTTGTTGAAGTCACTGGATGTTCATGTTTTGTTTGTTTGATGATAGTTCAAACCTGAAACCAAATGATGTGCTATTAATTTAGGCGGTATTTAAGTTACATGCAATTAAATTGTCGAATTGTTTTTTCGCACATTGTTTTGAGATTAGCCATGTGAAATGAAGAGAACAATATTTTTTCAACTTTTCAATATTTTGTACACGTAGCATTTTAATAATAACTTACGGAATCTCATTAGTTGTCTACTAACATAATTAAGCTTACAGTCTAAAGTGCTCTAGCTACTATCAAAAGAAAACAGCTGTGACTTGATTTAGTTTAATTAATTTAAGGAAAAATTATCCTTGATTAATTACAAATGTTTAAATTTGAGAATTATGACACAAGAAATTGTACTACCTATGGAAATGCCATTATCAACAAGCTATGGACTATGCCCTTTCAAGCTGTGTAGCTAGGATATTTGACTAGGGCATACATATTCAGCTTGACAAGGACAACCCCATGCATCTAGCTCCAAGCAGTTCAGCTTTTTTTAGATTATTTATGTACCTGGTAGATAACATTTGTTGCTGCGACTGAAGGAAATATTCTTCTATTCGAAATGCACTGCAATTTTTGATGTCATTGTCAAACCACATGACACAAAGATAAGTAAGGTTTCAATTCCATACCTTTATCTAAAGTTGATGCATCGATTGATGCCACTAGCAGAGCAGGTATGTTTGAAATATTTGTTTAACACTTTATTTATTTATTCCTTAGAATGGGTGCAACTGTATTCGTCCAACCACTAGATCTTGTGAAAAACAGAATGCAGATGAGTGGTATGTTGTTAACATTTATTTTTTCAATTGTTTTCAGTGTATGATAGTGGCTACTAGTCTCCTTTGTAGACTCTCCTGCAGGACTTTCTGGGATGGAGAGGAAGCCATAAGAGGCTGTGTAGGAGGCTAACTGATGTGGGTACTAGCTTAAAATTTCAATTTTTTCACAAAATCAGGTATTGGGGGTGCAGCCAAGGAACACAGAAGTAGCATTCACGCTGTTATGTCAATCCTACGAAAAGAGGGTTTCTTTGGAGTTTATAATGGGTATTGATAACTGATTATTGATTATTAATTAATGATAATTTATGCAAATATTGCATGACAAACTATTATGATAATACAGACCTAAATGGCTAGCACTTTGCTATAAACGTTTCCACCCAATGCAAACCACCTGGGAGTAAGTTTAATTGTTTGTTGTATTTCACAGTTGAATTCTTAGCAATAAAATTTCTTTCTCCCAGGATTTGAATTGGGTGGTAACGTGCATGGCAATGCATCAGCCAATCAGGTCTTTTATGTAGAACATATCTTATGTTTTGGTTGATTACACGTTATATTTGACTTTTAGGTTATCAGCTGGACTGTTTCGACAAGCAACTTATACTACCACAAGATTAGGAGTCTATACAACACTTTTAAACCACTTTAAA